GTATTCGTAGAGGCATCTGCTAGGTACAATGTAGCGCGGACTGATTGCAGTTTGTAATTTCGGCGTTGAATTGATTCTATACGGGTCTATCATTACCAGCATGTTTTAACTGTTGTCTTCTCCATTCTTTGTGATATCTCATACGTTTTTTTCTTCGTCTAATATTGTTCTGTCGCGTTGCTATTGAATGGTGCGGGTGAACGTACGTACTGAGTTTTTGTTTGCAACTGTTCAATGCGTTCTTATAGGTAACATGAGTGTCGTACACAGTCTACATTTTATAAACTATAACTAGTAGATTTATGTGAGGATGGAGCTTCCGTATGTGATTTTCTAGTGTTTAGCAAATCGTTCGTGATTACTTCATCCGAGTCAAGTGTGGAAGTTGATAAATATTTATTTTACTCAGTTTTCATCTATCCAGTGTGCTACATTGAGGTAGCAAAGTGTGGTAAAGGTCTACAGGTTCAGAGAGTTCCTTTGATCCGATTGATTTGTTTCTTAACACATATCGATCTTTTTGCAGATGACATCTGGTTTTTCGTCATTGAGAATCATTTGGGCGATGTTGTCGAATTCCTTGTCGACCAGTTTGATACAGTAGTCGTCAATTACGGGCATATCGAGAATCAGTCTACAGTCATGTTCAGCCTTCTGAAGTGAGTAACCATGATCCAGTGTGGAAGCCAGGTAATAGTGACTAACCTTCTTCAAATCTTTGTCCTCTTTGAGCTCTTCTTTATCGAGACCTGTCACGAATTGTTGACACACAGCGCATTCAAGACCTTTTCCAAGAGACAACGTTACGATGGAGCATAGTAGAAGGCAGATTGTAGATATACGGATCATCGTGTGATGTTATAACTTCACTCACTTAGTTCACCTAATTAAAGGCACCGTTTACGATAATTTTGAGGCATGCAGCTTAAGCGAAATAATGGAAGTTATGGTGCGGAATTGTGCAAAAAAGACAAAGAAATCACGAAAATCGGTGGGTCATGAATAATATAAGGTTTTAAAAAATTCGGAAAAAAGGCAGTTGTACGAGGTTATGTGCTGTAGTCATGTGGATTCCACCACATAAATGCACTATTCGTTGGCGTCCAAACGCGTAGTTGTAGATGCTGAAGCCTTAACAAGGGCATCATAACAAGGTTAATCCTGGGTGTTTACGTCGGCTAAGCCAGTTTCGGAGCACTTATAACGCCCTGTCGAGGTCGTTTTTCGACCAGACAATGTTTCACCTGCTGCCCTACACGTTTATACTAAGGGGAAGTCGCAGAAACCAATTTCATTGTGAGTTCTATTTTCAAGCTGTATAGTGAGTGGCGAATGCGTTGGGCCAATGTTTCGTATGCAGTAGGAATAAAGAGATGTAATAGAAGAACCGAAGGAAGCAACGCAGTGTCATATCGCTGAGCAATACTAGGCAAGGTCAAGACTGTAGAATATTCTTTAACAAAAGGACATTTTTGGCAGTGATCAATCCCGTTGTTGGATGCAACCACACATTCAAATTCGTAGTGTTTCAATGCGTATATGAATAGTTGCGGTGGTCAGCCGATTCA